GCTGAAGAGGCGACTGGATGCGTCATGCGTCTCCATATTGGAGACGGGAACAAGCGCTATTCAGCCAAACTTTCATAATTTCATAAAAATAACATTTTTCCAAGTGACACATCCCTCAGAGAGACCGGGTTTCCAGACCGCTTCAGTGGGAGGAAATGAACCAACATCCTTGAGTTTATCCGTCAAAATAAACAGTCAAATGGAAATATCTGTAACCTGCCATTTAACTCTTTTGCCTTCTTGTGAAGATTGTTGCAAAGAGAAACAACTAAACCTGATTAACCCCAGAGCCAAGCACTGCACTGTACTCCGTGACTGTAAATGAGGGGAAACGATTTAATCGGATCCTTTTATTTTCAACATGGTTTAATGTAAAGTTTCATTCAGTACAAACTTTAGTTACACCGATCTAACGAGACAGATCCTGGATTTGTATTCTGAACAGTTTAAACATGTTTAAAACGGAGACGTGCGTGATGCGTCTAAAATTCGCACCTGCTCCGCTATTATGGAAATTAAAATAACAAGATGAATAACATGAACTTATTTTAAGCACAGACAACATCCACCACACTTTTGAAAAGCTTGCAACGCGCCTGGTCGCTCGTGTACGTCAAAGTTATCTTTCATAAAAAGATAATCAATAAAACAATTAAATAAAGTGGATCCAGAAGCTGTAGCCCGTCTCTGCCTTCAATATTCACCCTGTTGGTGGTTTTACTGAGCAGGTGCCACTTTTGTCATACGTTTCTTTTTAAAACATGTTTAGGCTGCTCAGAATACAAATCCAGGCTCTGTCACGTTTGATTGTTGTAATTAAACTTTGTAGGTGGGGGAGGTCGGAAAGCAGCTCAGAAGCGCATGATTACGCACAAGCGTGACGCATCAACCCGGTCTCACAGACCGGGTTGGACCTGTTCAGGTTTACGCAGACAATCTTTACATGTAGAATTGGCATACAGATGTAAAATTAATGCAGTAAAATATAAAGCATTTTATTTAAATATCCATTCATTATTTTACAAGCACAGAGAGCCGCATGCGGCTCCAGAGCCGCGGGTTGCCGACCCCTGTGCTAGCCTACTTTATTGTCCCCAGCAATTTTTAAGCCCCACTCAAGTGTATGGCTATTGTCCCCAGCAATTCTGAAAACAAACTGACGCCATTGATTGCAATGGTCGTCAAACAGCTTTATCGTCGAACTCACAGTAACCCTCGCTGATGTGGCACCCCCCATCAGTGTTATCAGAAGTTCTCTCCCTCTTTCACCGAGTAGATAGTTAAATAACTTAACTCTCGTCGTTTCTTCTGCCTCTGGCATTGTGAGGTCCGTGTACAGTGTGAGCTCCTCCTTCCAACTGTTCCACATCTTAGCCATGTTGGCAGAGTCCAAGCAGAGGGTCGGAGGTGGTCGGATACCTTCCTTCATGACGCCAAGCGCACCCTTCGGCTCCATCAGTGGCTCTGTACTAGTCGACACGCTCCCGTCTGTGCTAGCGTGCTAGGCTAACAGCCTCCAGCTATCGGCACAGTCCGCTGTTCCCAAAGCAGCTCTCTCACCTTGTAGCTGCATTTACCACCGCTGCCACCATGTTTCATTCTGTTCTGTTACTCAACTTTACAGAAAGGACAGTTAAAGCAGTATTGTTGCTTACACGTGAAACTTTATCAACATCCGTGCCAACTACAGGTACAAACATAAGCCCCCCCTGTTTCTGGCTTCTTTGTGTTCCCTCTAAACAGTTCCCCCTAGAAACACATAAGTAATAACATTCCTCTTTTTACAGCATCTATCATATCACATCCCCAATCACCGTACTGATCTCCCTGGACACCGCAAACGGGTTGGACTTTGCAAAACGCGCACCAGCCACAAAGCTGCCCTCCGCCAGCCTCTGCTGCTTTGCCTGCTTGTCCCAATCACCGTCCGAGGCATCACTGCTCTCCGCATGGTCTCTCTTACCCGCCCCAGATCCCGCCAGAGAATCGGCCACCCTGGCCTTTCCAGCTCCCTTCTTCCCCATTCACAACAGCAAACGTGTCCAACTCAGAGCAAAGTTGAGCCGCCGTCTTCCCGGGCCCGTAGAGGCAGTCGGCCGACCACCCAAACCTGCCTGTCAAGTCACACACAGCCACCACAGCAATCCCATAAACAAGCCAGTCCTCTCCAGCCCACGGTGGGAAGGGCCTTTCTTTAAGTAATGCCCTTTTCTAGTCACCTGTATGGACTCCGTTTTAAATGAATCATTACTCACCTGTGGTTACATGCCTGTTAATTTGAATGTTGTAGTCTTACATGTGACTTTTCTAAGACTATAATTGGGGTGTACTCATTTTTGCAAGATGGGCCTGAATGGTTTGTTAGAAAAATCACTTTTTGTGTGGAAATTAACAAATCATGTTTCAATGGCCCATGTTTGTGGAATATTTTGTAGTATGGTACCACACAGAAAATGTTGATTCTGAAAGGAAACTAAAGGTTTTCTGAAAAATGTAGTGGAGTGTACTCACTTATGCTGAGCACTGTACCTAAACATTAAATGCTCAAAATAGCATTTTCAGCCCCATTGATTTGCATTAATCTTTTGTTCTTCCAGGTCCCATGAGCCAACTGGAAACGGAGGCTGCCTATACATTAGCTGCGCAACAGAAACTCAGAACCTTCATTAGTGGTGTGTGTGTGTGTGTGTGTGTGTGTGTGTGTGTGTGTGTGTGTGTGTGTGTGTGCTACCAAAGTGTCCTTTGAGATCAAAACCTGTTTGAAACAGCCAAGGTTATTCATAAAAAAATACTTTTTGTTTCTGCTGTCAATTGACAATCCATCTTAATATATGATAAGACTTTGCTGTTGGGGTTTATTTTTTTCCTCATTGCAAGACTTCCCACAAGTACATCCAGTTTGTCTGTTGCAGGGGTTGATAAAGACAAATCACTGCTCATAGATGGCTTTTTGTAGTGAGCAGAGAGGTGAAAACAGGCAATATATTAAACGCAGAGCAAATCTGGTACTTTCTAGAAGAATAACATAGAAATGTGAACCTGATAAGCACTGAACATTTTTTATTAAGTCACAGCCATCAGTTTTTTTTTTTGGGTCTGAGATTCATCGGGTAGCAAAGAGGGGAAGTAGATATTTCATTATTATTCCACTCTGATGTGGCTTTTATTCCCGTCCAACATTTAGATTTTATACAACGGAGGCACTAATTACAAATTGTTTAATTAGTTGCACTTTAACAACATAAGAAAGGAGCGAGGGCTTCCTGTAGCACGTTCACCATTGATTCCCTGACATCTCCAACCAAACATGTTTTTGTCTATTTTAGGGCTGAAACGATTCCTCGAGTACCTCGAATAATTCGAGCACAAAAAATCCTCGAGTCAAATTCTCTGCCTCCGGCTTCGTTTAATTCATGTTTACTTAATTCATGGCTTTGCAATCGCCCGGGGTCATGTTTCGCCCGGACCGAAATAAGTGACGCACATACACACTGCACTGAATACACATGTGAGTAGCGAATGTAATTTAACTTTCTCTTAAGCCATGGTGGACAACGTGGACCCTGGTGGAGTGTGAAAAAGACAGGAAATGTCAAAGGTGTGGGACCAAGGCGGAAAACGTTGTCCAGTGTAAATAATGTAAAATGGATTTAGCCTACCACAGCACCACATTCCTCGATGCGGCAGCACCTGACATCCACATGTAAATGTCACTTCTGCAAGCAGACTCGGAGCCTCTACAAGATAATGTATTTTAGCGTGTATTTCTATCTATTCTGCGGACACTGTGAGACTTTTTCACTTGTAGCAGTCAGTTTCAGCTCACACTGTGCTTCTGGTAGCAACACGTCAGACTTAAAATGTGCTAAAAATAGCAGTTTTTACAACACGTCGGACTTTTTACTGTGTTGTTGATGTCTGTTGTCCCTGAGGATTGCCGCAGGAGGACACAGGTATTTATGAGTGGCGGAGGAAAATGAAAGAAAGTAAATGTTTTGTGATCAGTATAATTTGACATAACCACAGCAAACATGCTTTCTCGACAAATCTTGTGTTGGGTATTTTAATTTATCTACTATTGTTCTTATATTACCTCAAAGAAAGTCAGAACACACACACAGAGGGATTAGATTCTTAATTTGGTAAATTGTAACAAACCTTTAAACAGACAACAAACTCTGCAAAGTGTGACACTTTGCAAAGGCCATAACATACATTGCAAAGCTCACTTTGTAACGGGTGAGAGTGAGGCACGGAGACATACTGGAGTCAGAAGCCATTTTCCTCTCACAAAGGAGCCGAAGCTCGTGGAGTCAATTTATTGAATACATAAACCACACCCACAATTTATGAACCACCCTTCTTTGCCTTAGGAAGTATACAAAAAGCACAAGAGAAGTTTCTAGAGTTGAGCTAATTCCCTACCTGACCAGTTCGCTTTTAACTAATGGAAAACCCCTTGGTCTTAGAATGCACAGGACAAAGGAATTCTTCAGATACTAGATCTACAAGTTTCTTGGTCTGGCAGAAACTCCCTGGTTTGGCCTCAAATAATAGAACAATATGCCTAAAGCAGAAATGAGGTGCTGAAACATACACAGTAAACAAGTAAGGGTTTTTCCTAACAACATTTCACAAAGGAAAAGATTTCACAACAAAGATGAACAATTAAAAATACCTAACAATCCCTCCTGATGTTCATTTTTGTTGTTATAACAAATCAGAGTAAGATGTCAATAACCCAATAATCAAAAACACGAATTATGAATCAATACGACGATTTTAGCTTAACAGTAACCCAAACACCAAAATCTACTTTATCCTGTGTGCCTAGCTTTATTAAGATAACCATAACAGGTGCAAGAACCTTTAACACGAGTTGACACCAATTATCAGATACCAGCCAACAGTCGATCCATTGGATTTCAGGAAGTTGCTAGAGGGGGAAAGTTGATGTTAAAACAATGTTTTCCATAGAATGGTGTTGCCCTTTTGTCGAGATGAAACAGAAGGCTCATCACAGACCCAGACTCTTTCTTCAGCTCAAATGTCCTCGTAAGGACGCCCATCTTCAAGCAACGTGAAGTGGGGGGTAGGGAGCCAACCTGCACTTTGGGCCACACCAGTTGTGTGGCAGGAGAGAGAGACATTCTGAGAGATGGTGAGGGGATGTCTTTTGGATGGGAAGCCATGAAACCAGACGGGAGATTTGGGGTACTGAATACGTCGTTGGAGGCAGGTCACAGTGTCGTGTGGACGGACCCAGGAGGGGTCTCAAACACCAGATGTTGATTCCGTTGTTCCTCCCAACTGCTGCTATTCCTCTCGTTCCATCAGATGCTGAGGGGCAGTTTCAGAGCAAAGTGCGATCCCCCACCATCAGCAGCGACATGGTGGATTGGCCCTGCAAGCTTAAGGCAGATCGTTTACTTATCTGCCGTCCTCGGCGAGCCTGCATGCATTCTATCCGATGATGATCAGTTGTAGTGGCCTCTCAGCAGTATGCAGCAGTGGGAGGGATGAGATGAGTGACCTTGACGCCTCATTTGTGGTATCACGTGCAACAGGACCCCAAACTCCTTGGTTCCATGGCCTGCGGTGAGAAAGTGCAAAAGGGTCATTGTGGCTTTTTGACATCTTCAGCAACAGCCATTCAGTATACAGTACACTTTGGATTCCAAATGGGTCCAAAATTCACCAGAAATTTACCATCATCATCCCTAAGCTGGAATCAACTCATATAATTATCAGCAAACTATACCAAAGTACATTCATCAATTCATGTTCCATGTTGTATTAAACAACCCACACCATTAGTTTATGTAACCCAATAACTGGTTGATAAGACTCATTTAACAAGAAGTTTTTAGGTTTATGAAAAAGCCAAACACCTTTCTGTAAAAACAGTAAGTCAAAGTATTATGGCCAGATATCTCACCTTGGCAAAGAGTCTGCTCATGACAAGAATCCAAGAAATAAAAACAAAATCTCACATCAGGATGTTCTTACTTGTTTACGGATCAGGCAACTTAAAGGCAAAATAAAACATTTAAACAACAGTCATAGTAAAAGAAAAGATGTAAATGCATCACTCCAGGAGTTAGAAAATCGGAGAGACGGACGGACGGAACAGAAGAACAGACGAACAGAACAGACGAACAGAACAGACGAACAGAACAGACGAACAGAACAGACGAACAGAACAGACGAACAGAACAGACGAACAGAACAGACGAACAGAACAGACGAACAGAACAGACGAACAGAACAGACGAACAGAACAGACGAACAGAACAGACGAACAGAACGGGCAAACAGACGAACGGAACAGACGAACGGAACAGACGAACGGAACGGACGAACGGAACGGACGAACGGAACGGACGAACGGAACGGACGAACGGAACGGACGAACGGAACGGACGAACGGAACGGACGAACGGAACGGACGAACGGAACGGACGAACGGAACGGACGAACGGAACGGACGAACGGAACGGAAGAACGGAACGGAAGAACGGAACGGAAGAACGGAACGGAAGAACGGAACGGAAGAACGGAACGGACGAACGGAACGGAACGGAAGAACGGAACGGAAAAACGGAACGGAACGGAAAAACGGAACGGAACGGAAGAACGGAACGGAAAAACGGAACGGAACGGAAAAACGGAACGGAACGGAAGAACGGAACGGAAAAACGGAACGGAACGGAAGAACGGAACGGAAAAACGGAACGGAACGGAAGAACGGAACGGAAAAACGGAACGGAACGGAAGAACGGAACGGAAAAACGGAACGGAAAAACGGAACGGAACGGACGAACGGAACGGATGAACAGAAGAACAGAACAGACGAACAGATGAACAGATGAACAGATGAACAGATGAACAGAACGGATGAACAGAAGAACAGATGAACAGATGAACAGAACGGATGAACAGATGAACAGAACGGATGAACAGAAGAACAGACGAACAGATGAACAGAAGAACAGACGAACAGACGAACAGAACAGACGAACAGATGAACAGAAGAACAGGACAGACGAACAGATGAACAGAAGAACAGGACAGACGAACAGATGAACAGAAGAACAGGACAGACGAACAGATGAACAGAAGAACAGAACAGACGAACAGAACAGACGAACAGAACAGACGAACAGAACAGACGAACAGAACAGACGAACAGATGAACAGAACAGACGAACAGATGAACAGAACAGACGAACAGAACAGACGAACAGATGAACAGAACAGACGAACAGATGAACAGATGAACAGATGAACAGAACGGATGAACAGAAGAACAGATGAACAGATGAACAGAACGGATGAACAGATGAACAGAACGGATGAACAGAAGAACAGACGAACAGATGAACAGAAGAACAGACGAACAGACGAACAGAACAGACGAACAGATGAACAGAAGAACAGGACAGACGAACAGATGAACAGAAGAACAGGACAGACGAACAGATGAACAGAAGAACAGGACAGACGAACAGATGAACAGAAGAACAGAACAGACGAACAGAACAGACGAACAGAACAGACGAACAGAACAGACGAACAGAACAGACGAACAGATGAACAGAACAGACGAACAGATGAACAGAAGAACAGGACAGACGAACAGATGAACAGAACAGACGAACAGAACAGACGAACAGAACAGACGAACAGAACGGGCAAACAGACGAACAGAACAGACGAACAGACGAACAGAACAGACGAACAGAACGGGCAAACAGACGAACAGAACAGACGAACAGACGAACAGAACAGACGAACAGACGAACAGAACAGACGAACAGACGAACAGAACAGAAGAACAGACGAACAGAACAGAAGAACAGACGAACAGACGAACAGAACAGAACAGACGAACAGACGAACAGAACAGAAGAACAGACGAACAGAACAGAAGAACAGACGAACAGAACAGAAGAATAGACGAACAGACGAACAGAACAGAAGAACAGACGAACAGAACAGAAGAATAGACGAACAGACGAACAGAACAGACGAACAGACGAACAGAACAGAAGAATAGACGAACAGACGAACAGAACAGAAGAACAGACGAACAGAACAGAAGAATAGACGAACAGACGAACAGAACAGAAGAACAGACGAACAGAACAGAAGAACAGACGAACAGAACAGAAGAACAGATGAATAGAACGGACGAACGGACGAAGAGACGAACAGACGAACAGAACAGAAGAACAGATGAATAGAACGGACGAACGGACGAACAGAACAGACGAACAGAACAGAAGAACAGACGAACAGAACGGACGAACGCACGAACAGATTAACAGAACAGAAGAAAAGACGAACAGACGAACAGAACAGAAGAACAGACGAACAGAACAACAGAAGAACAGATGAACAAAAGAGACGAACAGATGAACAAAAGAGACGAACAGATGAACAAAAGAGACGAACAGATGAACAAAAGAGACGAACAGATGAACAAAAGAGACGAACAGATGAACAAAAGAGACGAACAGAACAACAAAAGAACAGACGAACAGAACAGACGAACAGACGAACAGAACAACAGACGAACAGAACAGAACAACAGACGAACAGACGAACAGAACAGACGAACAGACGAACAGAACAACAGACGAACAGAACGGACGAACGGACGAACAGAACGGACGAACAGACGAACAGAACAGACGAACAGACGAACAGAACAGAAGAACAGGCGAACAGAACAGAAGAACAGGCGAACAGAACAGAAGAACAGGCGAACAGAACAGAAGAACAGACGAACAGAACGGACGAACGGACGAACAGACGAACAGAACGGACGATCAGACGAACAGAACGGACGAACGGACGAACAGACGAACAGAACAACAGAAGAACAGACGAACAGACGAACAAAAGAGACGAACAGATGAACAAAAGAGACGAACAGATGAACAAAAGAGACGAACAGAACAACAGAAGAACAGACGAACAGAACAGACGAACAGACGAACAGAACAGACGAACAGACGAACAGACGAACAGACGAACAGAAGAACAGACGAACAGACGAACAAAAGAGACGAACAGACGAACAAAAGAGACGAACAGATGAACAAAAGAGACGAACAGATGAACAAAAGAGACGAACAGATGAACAAAAGAGATGAACAGATGAACAAAAGAGACGAACAGATGAACAAAAGAGACGAACAGATGAACAAAAGAGACGAACAGATGAACAAAAGAGACGAACAGACGAACAGAACAGACGAACAGACGAACAGAACAACAGAAGAACAGACGAACAGAACAACAGAAGAACAGACGAACAGAACAGACGAACAGAACAACAGACGAACAGAACAGAAGAACGGACGAACAGAACGGACGAACAGACGAACAGACGAACAGACGAACAGAACAGACGAACAGACGAACAGAACAGACGAACAGGCGAACAGAACAGAAGAACAGGCGAACAGAACAGAAGAACAGACGAACAGAACAGAAGAACAGACGAACAGAACGGACGAACGGACGAACAGACGAACAGAACGGACGATCAGACGAACAGAACGGACGAACGGACGAACAGACGAACAGAACAACAGAAGAACAGACGAACAGACGAACAAAAGAGACGAACAGATGAACAAAAGAGACGAACAGATGAACAAAAGAGACGAACAGAACAACAGAAGAACAGACGAACAGAACAGACGAACAGACGAACAGAACAGACGAACAGACGAACAGACGAACAGACGAACAGAAGAACAGACGAACAGACGAACAAAAGAGACGAACAGACGAACAAAAGAGACGAACAGATGAACAAAAGAGACGAACAGATGAACAAAAGAGACGAACAGATGAACAAAAGAGACGAACAGATGAACAAAAGAGACGAACAGACGAACAGAACAGACGAACAGACGAACAGAACAACAGAAGAACAGATGAACAGAACAACAGAAGAACAGACGAACAGAACAACAGAAGAACAGATGAACAGAACAGATGAACAGAACAACAGACGAACAGAACAGAAGAACGGACGAACAGAACGGACGAACAGACGAACAGAAGAACAGACAAACGGAACAGACGAACAGACAAACAGAACAGACGAACAGACGAACAGAACAGACGAACAGACGAACAGAACAGAAGAACAGACGAACAGAACAGACGAACAGACGAACAGAACAGACGAACAGACGAACAGAACAGAAGAACGGACGAACAGAACGGACAAACAGACGAACAGAACGGACGAACAGAACGGACAAACAGACGAACAGAACAGAAGAACAGACGAACAGACGAACAGAACAGAAGAACAGACAAACAGACGACCAGAAGCGAAGAACAGACGAACAGAACAACAGAAGAACAGACGAACAGACGGACAAAAGAACAGAAGAACAGACGAACAGACGAACAGACGAACAGACGAACAGAACAGACGAACAGACGAACAGAACAGAAGAACAGACGAACAGACGAACAGAAGAACAGACGAACAGAACAGAAGAACGGACGAACAGAACGGACGAACGGACGAACAGAACGGACGAACAGAACGGACAAACAGACGAACAGAGGAACAGAACAGACGAACAGACGAACAGAACAGAAGAACAGACGAACAGAACAGAAGAACAGATGAACAGACGAACAGATGAACAAAAGAAACGAACAGACGAACAGAACAGACGAACAGACGAACAGAAGAACAGACGAACCGAACAGACGAACAGACGAACAGACAGACGGACAGACGAACAGACAGACGGACAGACGAACAGAACAGACAGACGGACAGACGAACAGAACAGACAGACGGACAGACGAACAGAACAGACGGACAGACAGGCGAACAGAACAGACGGACAGACAGGCGAACAGAACAGACGGACAGACAGGCGAACAGAACAGACGGACAGACAGGCGAACAGAACAGACGGACAGACAGGCGAACAGAACAGACGGACAGACAGGCGAACAGAACAGACGGACAGACAGGCGAACAGAACAGACGGACAGACAGGCGAACAGAACAGACGGACAGACAGGCGAACAGAACAGACGGACAGACAGGCGAACAGAACAGACAGACAGGCGAACAGAACAGACAGACGGACAGAACAGAACAGACGGACAGAACAGAACAGATAGACGGACAGAACAGAAGAACAGACGAACAGAACAGAAGAACAGACGAACAGAACAGAAGAACAGACGAACAGAACAGAAGAACTGAAGAACAGACGAACAGACGAACAGACCAGACGAACAGACGAACAGAACAGACGAACAGACGAACAGAACAGACGAACAGACGAACAGAACAGAAGAACAGACGAACAGACGAACAGACGAACAGAACAGACGAACAGAACAGAAGAACAGACGAACAGAACAGAAGAATAGACGAACAGACGAACAGAACAGAAGAACAGACGAACAGACGACCAGAACAACAGAAGAACAGACGAACAGACGAACAGAACAACAGACGAACAGAACAACAGACGAACAGAAGAACAGACGAACAGAAGAACAGACGAACAGACGAACAGAAGAACAGACGAACAGACGAACAGACGAACAGAACAGAAGAACAGACGAACAGACGAACAGACGAACAGAAGAACAGACGAACAGACGAACAGACGAACAGAACGGACGAACGGACGAACAGACGAACAGACGAACAGAACAGAAGAACAGACGAACAGACGAACAGAACGGACGAACAGACGAACAGAACAGAAGAACAGACGAACAGAACAGAAGAACAGACGAACAGAACAGAAGAACAGACGAACAGAACAG